ATGAAAAACAGATCCCACTGATGTATGTAATATGCATATATGGCCATATCACAGGGAAACCCATTTATTTATACAATGTGTTAATAAAAAGATTAAAAGGAAATGCCATTCGTATTTTACCAGACTAACAATGTAGGAAAGGCATTCAATGTTTTACAGTCGAAATATCAAATGATTTTTTACTTACAATTTGAAAGGAATTAAAATAAAAAAACATCAGGAAAACATGTAATGGGTTGGCTTAAACTAGTACGTGCAGGGCAGGATAAGGTTCCTTGAGCAATCATCAAGTTAGTATCTAATGGACAAATAACAAGATAGGAAAGAAAGAAGTTCCAGATAAAAGAAGGAAGCTCATATTTAAGGAACTAAATTCTCATATTTAAGGAGCTAAAATAAGGCGAGTATGGCCAGAACACACAGGGAGTGAGACAAATCAGAAGAAAACATGGGCTAACAAGCCAGCAGATGAGCATACAGAATGGCATCTTGACTTCTATGACTTTCCACCAATAGTGGATGAGGAATTGTCATCCATATGTCCAACCGTACACATCTGCTTTTATTTTGCTACAGCACAAAATGACCATTATTCAGCTTATAAGTGTTTCTTCTAAAGATGATTCAACTTCCTATGACCTTCATTACAACTGCTCAATTTCTGATCAACTTTTGCAAACTGGTAAACACTATTATGTATTTTCTGCACGAGTTCCACAAAGGACAGTTTTACCTTGATAAAAAGCAAACATGAGTCTATATCTCAAGGCCTCATAAATGATTAAATTATTCAGTAGCTTTGTACAATTTTTAAAAGTTTATTACAGTTTGCCACAAATGCCCCCAAAACAGATCTGACATTTTTGTCCTTGGGACAGTTTTGCATATTTTTTAGGCTAAATATAAGAATATAAGAATAAAAGGCAGTATTTACCATTTTCTGAAACCTCAACACCTCAGCTGCCCCACTCTCAGCTGAGGACCTGTACCCTACATCAAAGAAAACAAAAAAGAAAAAATGTAAATCCTCCCACCACCTCCATTAGTCCCTCTGCATCTGTATCCACATACTCTGCCTTTCTTTCTCTTCCTATAGAGGAGCCATTACTACTACTGGCAAATATCAACTTCGACACCACTACTCTATGGGTCCTGACTCCCTTCACTCCAGCACTGTCGTTTTCTGCCTGCTGAATCACCTCCAACAGTGCATCCATAAACTGTTGTATCATCCATCTTAGGAAACAGAACTCTCAATCTATAACAGCTTCCAGCTATACCCTTCAATTTTCTGCTCTTATACACAAATGTTCCTCTCTAAATTGACCCTACTATTTATTCTGTATTGAAATCAACCCTAACCAGGGTTTCGTATCTACCACAAGTTTCACACACTGGTGATCTCAATCTGCCGACTTATGGGCAGTTCTCTCACTACTTCTTTTAAATCCATATGTACCATTGTTTCAATCTTTAAACACTTTCTGCACTAGACTTCTAAGACATTACCTCCTTGTCCCTACATCCATTGTTCTACCTTATTGGTCACCTCCTATGATAGAGTAATGTCTCCCTCAACAAACAGAGAATTCTTGAAATGTGTGAATACATTAACACATGGCAAAGGGACTTGGACAATATGATTAAAATTAAGCATCAGATGAAGAGATTATCCTGAACTATCCAGGTGAGCCCTGTGCTTGGGGTAATCACAAGAAGCCTTCAAATAGGTAGAGAGGAGAACCAGAGTGAGCACTAGCAGAAGTGACAATGAAAACAAGAGGCTGCAATAGTACGTGAGAAGAGTCAGATACAAGCAATACAAACAGCCTCGGGAACTGGAAAGACAAAGAAATGGGCTCTGAGAGCCTCATGAAGTAAAACCACACTGCCAAATCTTGATTTTACAGCATATTACAATGACACAGCCACATCACTGTTTATAGCAACAAAATTCACAACAGATAAACTATGGAACCAACCAAGATGCCCCTCAACAGATTACAGGTACATGCCTGTAATCCCAGCGAGTTGGGCTAAGGCAAGAAGATCGTGAGTTCAAAGCCAACCTCAGCAACTTAGCAAGATCCTGTCTCCAAATTTAAAAAAAGAGAAAAGGGCTGGAGATATGAGTCAGTTGTTAAACACCCCTGGGTTCAATCCCCAGTACCAAAAACAAACAAAAGATGAAGAGATTGTGGTAGATATACACAGTGGAATATTACTCAGCCATAAAGAAGAATAAGGTTGTGACATTCACTGGTAAGTGGATAGATCCATAGACTACATTATTAAGTAAAATAAAACAATCCCAAGAAACCAAAGGTCGAATGTTTTCTCTGATAGGTGGATGCTAACCCACAATGCAGGAGGAGTTGAGAGGAAGAACAGAACTTCAATGGATTAGACAATAGGGAATGGAGGGGGGATAGAAATAGGAAAGAGGGTGAATGAATCTAACTTTCCTATACATACGTGTACGCCACAGTGAATCTCACCATTGTGTACATCCATAAGACAGGAATCCTAATTAGAATAAGACATTTATACAAGCATAGAATATATCAAAATAGTTTCTACTGTCATGTATAACTAAAAAGAAATAAAAAATAATAAATGAGCAAAAGGAATATCAGTAGAGGAAGGAAAATAGAGGGAAAGTAAGGAAAGGGACATTGAAATCAAATTCCTTGAGTGTATGTTTTTATCAAAATGAACCCAACTATTATGTATAACTATAAGGCTCTAAGAAACTAAATTTTTAAAATACTGATTTTAGACTTCTGATCTCCAGAAATATAAGAAAATAAATTTCTCTTCTTTTAGTTTGTTAAGTTTCTGGTAACTTATTAACAGCAGCAATACTTCCAGCTCAAAACTTTGGTTTTGAGCTCTCCTGCTCTCTACACAGACTCATTCGAAGATCTTAATCAACCCTTTGAGCATTAAATGTCTGATGACGACAAGTCTCAAATATTTATCCCTAGCTAATGCTCTTTATGTTTATATACTCAACTATCTCCTTAACACTTGCAGTTGTACATCTATAAGGAATCTCATGTGTATCAAAACTCAATTCCAAATATGCTCCCACAAAATCTTCAATAAAGAGCAACTGTATTCTAGGTTTTTAAAGCAAATCTTTGGGCCTATGACTCTTCCCTATCTTTGAAGCCCCATGTACAATCTACTAATTTTCCTAGTTTTACCTTCAAATATATTCAGAATGCAAGGGCTTCACAGTACATTCTCCACTATCCAAGTTGTCCCAATTGTCACATCACCTTGATTATGGATCACAATAATTTTTCACTTTTCCCTTGTTCTGTAGATTATTGTCCCACGATTAACAAAGCGATACCAAACAAGACTCTATATGTTAATTCCCAAAGACTGCTGTCTCATTCAGGATACAATCTGGAGGCCTCTATCACCACATTTAGGGGCACTATGGGATATGGAACCTGGTCCTTTCCAACCACAGCTGCCCCCGTTTCCCCCTTCTCTAGCCTCTCAAACCTTCTTATGTTGTCTTGTGTCTTGAAATGTATGACAAAAGCTGGTGAAAAAGGCTACTTTAATGTGAAGCTCATAAAATCACACCCAAATTTTCTTCTGAAATATACCAATTATATACCATATTTATTCTATTACAAATGATATATGAAAGATTATTCCATTAATCTCAGAAATATAGCAGTATAGTTCAATGAGATTTAGTATATAAAATAGGACATATGAACTCAAAACTCAAATTTATAATAACGTATGTATAATTAATGATCAAATCATGAAGAAAAATTCCAATATTCCAAATTATTTTAAGTCAGACCACCAGTGGAACATTTTTATCATTAAGATGAATTCATATATATGATCTTGTTTTAAAACAGTAACTGATGCAAAAGCCAAGACTGATTCAAAATTTAGCATATGTGAATAAACTCTACCCAAATTTTATCTATTATATATGCTTGTAATATAAAAGTCAATATTCATATTACCATTATCTTGTAATCTTAAAAGTCCATACATTTCAAACTATTTACTGATCATCTAATATCAGCCAAGCACTGAATTAGCTACACTAACTTTTCTAATTGAGAAATCTGACAAGCTCAATACATAATATTTAATATCTGTCTACTGAAATTTGAAAATGAATGACAATAAAACTATGTAAGGGGCTGGGGTTGTGGCTCAGTGGCAATAGTGCTTGCCTTGCACATGTGAGGCCCTAGGTTCAAGCCTCAGCACCACATAAAAATAAACAAAATAAAGATATTGTGTCTAACTAAAAAAATATTTTAAAAAAGACAAAAGTACAGCAGTGTTTTCAAACAAAAGAAAACAAAGCTATTCCAGTAACATGAACAAAATTTTTTGACATTTAAGTTGTCACATTTAACTCAGATTTTAATTAAGAAAATGTTTTATCATCTGTGCAGAAAATTTACCATGACAGGCCTGAGACTACTGTTCTTAAGAAAACCCATTAAGAAGGTAGGTCCTGGGCCAATGTCTAGAAGTTAACTGATAGTTTTGATATGTTCTACCTAGACTGGCTTGCAAAAAAAGCATTGTTCATGCTGAACATCTGCTTTTCTTCAGAGAATGTGGAATTTTTGTACATGCTAGCCAGGGGATGGCTAGGTGATCAACCTCAATAAACATCTTGGGCACTAAGTCTCTAATGGGCTTTGCTGGGGAGAAACCTTGTGCAAGTGTTGCAGGATTTTCATTGCTCAGAGTTAGGGGTGTATTGCTACCCCTTCAGGGGAGGGAGAGAACAAAGGGAAGCCTCCAAATGCATTCCTCCAAATGGCCTGTGACCCTTGTGAGCCAGCTGCATATTGGTACTACTTCACTATAATATATCTTGCCTAGAATACAACTAAATGCTAAGTTCTATGAATTCTTCTATAAATTTTCCAAGAGTAGACATAGTTTGGGATAACCATGGCATAGTCAGAGCTTTCTTAAAAAGCCAGGATTCTTACCTGCTGATATGCTTCATAAATCACATCAAACAGAAAAGCCTGTGGCATTTCACTTGCTCTGTGTCTGGCACGTTCTAGCGAGTGGTCTAAGCAACCATCAGCAGAGGGACTGATGACAGTAGATACGAGAGGTCTAACTGCTCCTGCTGCCTAAAGAACAAACAAGAGTCAATCACACACTTATTTCGCCTATGGAGCATTTTAAAGTAAACTCCAGATTCTGAATCTCACTTTCACAAAAACAGATTATTCAAACCTCAACAAGCTATCTCAAGAAAACGTCTAAACAAAGCTTTCTCCAGTTTGCAAGTCAATTATCTCAGGTCAGTAATGAGTTCTACCATGATAATGTTCTACAATGATAATAATTTCTACCTCTTGGTAAATGGAATTATTATTTTCATTGTAGGTTCAAGTCCTTTTTATTACAGCTCATTGAGATCAATGCCCTAAAAGGATGCTAAGATAAAATTGGGTATTCCCTGAAGATGGGCAGGAAAAAAACAATTATGAAACTGAGTTATAAACTGATGTTTACTTGTTAGTGTGCCTCCAGAACATTTAATTTACACATTAGATCATTTAAGGAAACAAACTCCCTAAGATCCCCACAATGAGACAAAACAACCCACACAATGAATTTATGTCTTATTCCTTTGAAAACAGTTCCTTTCAGACATAAAATCTCCATGCAAAGTTCCTCAGGCAACATGTCCAATGATTTTCATTACTATGATGAAAGTTCTGTCTCAATAGTTGGATCTGAACTTTATTAAAAAAAAAAATAAAGACACCTTTATGTCTGACAGTTTTATTTTTATTAGGGCCTTGTTTGTAACGAAGTCTTGAATGGCATTACCAGAGAGTTACCGTAATGAAGTTGCCTTAAAATAAATTTCTGTGGTAGGCTGTTAAGCTGATCTTATATCGACTTCAAAATGTTCTTTCTTCTGCAATGGTTACATGAGCTTCATAGCACATGAAGCCAATGCACAAATAGAACAAGTGTTCTCTTGAAGAGACTAACATCTGAGTAAGATAAAGCCCACATGCCAGTTTACAAAAGCCAAGGGACTGGCTGAAAAATCAAAGCTTGTATATGAGCCAAGTAGACAGTTTACAAATTGCATCACCATTTCCAGTGCCTCAGTGGAAATTTGGAGCCTAGGCATAAATGCAAAAACGAGACAGCTGGGAATGACATAGGAAATAGTGAAGAGTATTCCAACTAGGTGAAGAGTAGATAAAGAGCAAACCCAACTGGACAAGCCTAACACCTGCTAGGGGTTAGAAAACAAGACAGAAAGGAAACACAAATACCCATAAATGGACATTGCTTTTTAAGGCAAAATTTAAATTTCCACTGCAACTACTTGTAGGTACTATTGGAATTGTATTGCAGACTATGAAGTTAAAAATAGAGCAAACGGAGAACATGAGATATTCAAAATGACAGTGTGAGGGGCTCTGCAGACTTTCTGCCAGCAAACTAGTGAAAGATAATTTTGTTTATAAAAACCATTTAAAGACTAAGAATTTTCCCTAAGATATTCAGCAGTTGAAGTAACACTCAAAATCAGAAGATTTTTTATTTTTTTAAAGTGTTCATAGCATGTCTTTATCTGTGCCCCATTTCTTTCCCAGGCTTTCCCCCCAGCTCAGTGTGACACAGCCCTACTGGGTATAGGCAGAATTTTTTTAAAATGGGGCTCCATCTCCTCCAAGAGGAGGGCCACAATGCCAGCATTCCCCATTCGCCTCAATACTATTACATAGACTAAAATCTGGGCAAGTGTAGGTAAGAGATTCTCTAGCTCACACATAGGGCAGCAATTGTATGCCAGGAAGAGAGCAAGACGACGGCTAGAATCTTCCGTTGTGGGGGTGTCTTTATAAGAGACACCCCATCCACAGTTTCAGAGCATTAATGAATGTAGTGATTTTTTTCAAAGTGGAGAAAAACGGTCTAAGAATAGATATCTATGATGCTTTTCAAAGGAACTAAGTTTATTTGAAACCGAGTTCAGGGAGATTCAAGCCTAAATGCAAAATGCACTCTTAAAAGAAATTTAATTATCATGGTAAGCAATTAAGAGGAGAGTGGTTTTTTGCTTTCATGTAGATAACCAAACTATAGGCCAATTAGAAATTGGGTACTCAGGGATCAGAACAAATCCCAAACCAGCACCCAAAACCAACTTGAGAGGATGAGGCAGGAGGATTATAAGTTGAAGGCCAACTTCAGAAAGATATATTATAGTGGCACCCCCTTTTTCCACAGAAAAGTCTGAACTGGGCTTCTCCAGAAATCTTCACCATGGCCAGTTTTAGGACTATCAGCAAAATGGTCTCTACAAAAGAGCTCAATATAGATAAACTTCCTATTTTCGCGTTGCCCTGTCTTACTTGGCCACTGGCCTGGAAGAAATGAGCACTCCAGGTGCTGGGCACGCCCTTTCTAGTTTTTCACAAACATGTATCCAGTAGTTTGTAGAAATGTGTAAAAAAGGCCTCTGGCCTTGAGCTGGGCTTCACAAAGATGTCTACATTTCTAAGATAACAGAAGTTACCAATTGGGCTCCATGGTAACAGCTGACAGGGGGAGGAAAGAAAGGGGAGAAGCAGCTCTCCCCTTCTCAGGTTTGACCTTGAAGGGCTAACCTGCCCACAACAGTGAAAGAAAAAATCTGCTTTTATGTGAACTTCTACGCCCCTCCCCTTACATGCTGGGTATAAAATTCTGAAACTACCTGAACTTGGAGTTCAGTGGATTGTCTGATTGCAGCCGAAGCTGTGCCCTCTGAACCTGGCTACAGCCAAATAAAACTATTTCCTGCTATCTTTGATGCCTTGCCTCATCTGTTTCTACAACAATATCATTATATCATAGCAAAGGGAACTGTTTAAATGCATGGGAGTAGAGCAATTATGTCCCAAGCAATATCACAAATAAATTTGAGCTATTAGGAGACAATGAAACGAGTTTAACAGGTAGGTATGATAACAGGAAAAAAATAGTATAATAGATCAGGGAATGAAACATTCAAAGAGCCCTGCTAAAACCACATTATTCCACGTCCCTGTCATCAAAATAAAACTGATCAGCTGGGCACAGTGGTGCATGCCTGTAATTGCAGCAAGTCAGGACAGTGAGGCAGGAGGATTACAATTTGAAGGCCAGCTTCAGCAAGATATATCATTGTTTCATAGCAAAATATTAAAAGCCAAAGGCAATTAAAAACCATGAAAGCAGCAAGAAAATGATTCATCATTAACAAAAGATCAGCAATAAGATCAAAAACTGACTTATCAGAAAATTGGACAGTTAGGTAACATATTCATTGCTAAAGGAAAAAATCCATAAGAGATTCTTGTAATCAGCAAAGCCAACATTTAAATAATAAAAACAGAAATTCACAGAATGCTTTGCTAAGGGATTAAACACACCACACACACACAGACAGACACACACACACACACACACACCAACAGCAAATCTAATCTAAAAATATAGTAAAAACACTTATTGCTTCCTTTTCATGAACTGATTATAAAAGTAAATGAATAGTTAATTGATTAGCCTATCATATGTTGAAATGTAATATTTACCAAAACAATGCACAAAAGAATTTAATAGGGAATAGACTGAGCATGCTACAGGGACACTGCTACATCGATGTTCATAGCAGCACAATTCACAATAGCTAGACTGTGGAACCAACCTAGATGCCCTTCAATAGACGAATGGATAAAAAAAAATGTGGCATTTATACACAATGGAGTATTACTCTGCATTAAAAAATGACAAAATCATAGAATTTGCAGGGAAATGGATGGCATTAGAGCAGATTATGCTAAGTGAAGCTAGCCAATCCCTAAAAAACAAATGCCAAATGTCTTCTTTGATATAAGGAGAGTAACTAAGAACAGAGTAGGGACGAAGAGCATGAGAAGAAGATTAACATTAAACAGGGATGAGAGGTGGGAGGGAAAGGGAGAGAGAAAGGAAATTGCATGGAAATGGAAGGAGACCCTCAGGGTTATACAAAATTTCATACAAGAGGAAGTGAGGGGAAAGGGGAAAATAATACAAGGGGGAGAAATGAATGACAGTAGAGGGGGTAGAGAGAGAAGAGGGGAGGGGAGGGGAGGGGAGGGGGGATAGTAGAGGATAGGAAAGGCAGCAGAACACAACAGACACTAGTATGGCAATATGTAAATCAATGGATGTGTAACTGATGTGATTCTGCAATCTGTATATGGGGTAAAAATGGGAGTTCATAACCCACTTGAATCAAAGTGTGAAATATGATATATCAAGAACTGTGTAATGTTTTGAACAACAATAAAAAATTTAAAAAAAATTTAAAAAACCTGGGCGAATATGAAAAAAAAAGAGTAGAATGAATTGAATATAACTTTCCGATGTTTACATATGAATATATACATGCAGTATAATTTCCCATTCTTGTGCTTGTACATGATGTGTAGTTACCCTGGTCTTGTATTCATATATAAACACAGGAAATATATGAAAACTCTTCTCTTAAAGAAGGAAAAAAATGCTCACCAGTTTCTGTTAAATTTAGAGAAAACTGAATAAGCCTTATTATTGATGAAGGATTTAATTTTATGTTGGAGATACTAAAAAAACAAAATCAGACAAAAGAAAATTTTTATGGACATAGAAGTTAGAAATAAAAAAATAAAAATTTACAAAAAAAAGAATTTAATAGGAAAAAGGTGTAGAGAAGTAAGGAAATGACAGTGGATAGGAAAATGAATTCATACTAATAAACTGAATATTGCAAACATGATACTTTATACACACAATTTTCTCCTATGAGCTTCTATAAAGAACAATATAAACTAATAATTGAGATGATGAATTTGAGTTTCTGACACATACAGATATAACATGCTTACTAATAACTTGGGGGGAAAGAATACAGCAATATAAGAATAATGCTTCTATAGCTCACTCGAATTAAGATAGCATTATTGTGGGATCCAGAGAAACCTCAGAATGTAACAAAAAATTAAGTAATTAGAGGATTTAAAATGTTCCAATAGAAAATATTCCTCTATACAAATCAAAAACACTTAGATCCATCTCATCCCAGTCAATATGGCATTTTTTTTAAATATTT